GAAGTGTAAGACTACAGCTCAAAAATGGCACTTACGAAAGCCTGAACTCACCTAAGACTCAAATTCCTTAGGGGGTAGTGAGCCAGTACAAGTACAACGTTCTTCAAGTACAACGTTCAGAACATGTGGCATTAATTAAAACGCACAAGAAACTTACCTCATCATGTACAAACAGTGAAGGCATCTCTGCTTTCTCTTTTACATGAGAACAAATGACCTTGGGCGTGGCACTAGGGAAGAGGTCTGCAAAAAAGTAAAAGATTTACTGACATTAATCACGCCTCTAACAATTTGAATAATTGTGACAATTCAGAAATCAGTGCAATTCTGACAGCCTCTATAAGGGCATCAAAAATGAACAATTTTCTCGTTCTTTCTACCCTCACAAGAAGCTCCATCCATGGCATCTAATCCAAATTTGACGCTGTGCTTCCTATTTGCCTGCTTTGTAGACGTAGGGCTGCGAACATGTATTTTGTGCAGCTAATCTAGCAAAAAAATTCGTCATCTATAATTCAATCATCCTAATTATTTGTAATTTCATAAATGATGTGATAGCTCGTCGAGTTTTTAAAGAGTTTCGGGACTGCAATAGACACTGCGTAGCACGTATGAAAGTATTTCTTTTTAAAAAAATTCTTCAAAGCTTGCTTTCAGAAAAAGCGTCTGGCATATTTCGACAACCAAACCCATCCTCTGATGGCAATCAGGGGCACGCAATTAGCGATTATTGACCACGGGATTTACAAACGTAACCCGTGCCTAAATACTCAGTTAAACGCAAACAAGCAAGTAGGAGCGCTCAAACGACACCAACGCGCACGGACGCCATCTACGTTGCAGCAGCCATGGCTTATGCTAGAGCTATCGCAAATAGCTCCCACAGTCACGTATACTCTCTCGATTCTGTTATAACGCTGAACGTTATCGCATATGAAAGCAAAGCACGAAAACAGCAAGCAGAAACGAGGGTAAACAACGCACGGCAATGGCCACAACAACGCGCCTTTGGAAGTCTACTAGATCTTTCCCTGTTGCTGGAGACACATGTCCTAAACATTTTAAAAGACCGACGCGCACGTGCTGGGAGCATCGCGGCATATCAGCACCTCAAACTATACCGTCTTTAAACAAAAAAGCAGTTTCGTACAGTGCGCCTCTGAAGATAATTTTTTTCTTTCTTTTTTTACGCTTACGCCTACAGAAACACGTTGCACATTTAAGTATTAATAGAAATCTTATTACGATGTAGCCTAAAGCGCATCTTGAAACAATATCAATCACTTTGAGCAGTGTAGAGACAATGTGCGATCAGCAACTAATCGCGCCCTTGTTAAGTGATCACATGACTCACTGTATGAGTGATGCGGGCACTTACACAACATCGCGCATAGCAGTGTGAACTCGTTAAATCACACGTTGAATCCGGCATCTGCAACAGGCCCGCGAATGCATGCTGTTGTAAATGGCTGGCAGCCTACTTCGGCAGAGCTGCTGCAGGCGCCCAGCTAGCGCTGTATGATTACTACCTACGAAAACAGTACACTCACCGTTAACAGGCCCACTTTGTCCACGTCCGCCACTTCATGAATATTCCTCAATACGAGCGTCACTTCGAACACGGTGTCATGCATGACCACCATTGAAGATGCGCCTGTTGGCTAGAACTGGCACAGCAACCAAGACTTCAGACCAACGCAACGCATTTGAAAGACGGATGAGACAGAGAGAGCAACGTTGAGAGAGAGGAGAAGGCACTGGTGGCGGCGCCGCAGCTGTCGACGCAGGTGTTCGGTGACGCAACTATTCGCTTATCTACACCGCCGTTGGGGGGGGGGGGAGGCAACGCTGGCTCGGGTGAGCGCGGTGAGCGGGAAACCCGCCAATACGGCGCCGAAAGGCAAACGCTATGACGCATACGGTGGTCGGCGGTTCGACGCAGAAGGCAGTCGAATTGCGTTTCAAGAATGATTCCTTCTAAATGGCACCTCTCCTTCCTCCCAGCCGCACAGCGGCGCAGGTTATTTACCAGCCTTGGGTTCTTTGGGTATTTTGACGGAATGCGACTGCAGTGGGCGAAAAATAGTGAAGCAAAACTTGCGGAAAACAAAGTGCACCCTGGAATGGCCAGAAACAATAATTATTTCGTCCTCGGTGGCATTAGCGGGAGAGCCTTTTTCAGAGGAATTTGTTTTCGCATTGCCCGTGTCTGGCGATTCCGCGTATGGTGCTGCAAACACTGAATGCGTAATCGAAGCTGGAACAAATTAATTCACAGTCGCGGATGTTTAGAAGGTTTGTCACGCACCACGAAACCTGCCGAGGTTGTTATAACAAACTTTTTGCTGACCACATGATCAGCACATAATTCCATACGGTTGCCTAATGAGCTAGCTAAGCACCTGTAGCAAAGGCAGGGCACGTTCTTGTTAAACGTTGTTAATATAAACGATGGTTGTACATAAGTGCAGTGACAGGTTTCCGTGTGAATTGGTCATAACCCACGTTTTCGAGCGTAGAAGCGCCTCAGCGGACCTAATCAGCGACCACAGCAAGTTCGTAAACAACGATGAGGTACGAGATTGTGCAGCTGTTTTCCATGTACTGAATAGTCCGTGTACATTGCGTTGACCACCCCCATTCCTTTAGCCACCTCCCATATAGACTCCCAGTCTGAACAGGTGTGGGACCTTAAACACTAAGAAGCAGTGCCTCCCCGCAAACACACACACACACGAAATTCGAGGGCGCACGGGCTGATACACGCACATACTTATTCACAGGCGCACACACATACACGTATACACACATACGGCCACACACACACGCGACCGTAAACGCACGCATGCATGGGCGTACACATGTGCACAGGTACGCTTAACACAAGCACGGACTCACACATACACGCGCACGCACACATGCACGGGTGTACACACAATCGCGCTTACACACGAGCACATGCACAGGTTCGCGCACACACACCCATACTCGGGCGAACATTATGTGTGTGTTTATAATCCATAGCAAACTTGTAGCTTATAACCAACGCTAAAGAAAGCTTTCGTAACATGGATTGCAGGTAATTGCCATTAGAGATGACACGCGATTTGCTTCTGCTGGCATTCTGCTGTATTCGGAGAGCACCTTTACACATTCCAAGCCAATTGGGTCGTCATTTAACGCAAGGTCCACATATTCGTGCAATAGATACGCTGCTCGGCAGCCAATCCAAAGGTCACGGGTTCGATGCCGGCCGTGGCAGTCGAATTAAGGCGGAGGCGAAAAGGTAGAAGCCTTTGCACTGTGCGATATGAGCGCTCATTAGAGAACACCAAATGGTCAAAATCTCTGGAGCTTTCCACTACGACGACCCTCATAATCATATCGAGGTTTTTGAGACGTAAAAGCCCAAATAATATATTTATGTGTTCTTCTTATGCTGCATATTCTATCTGATGAATCGCCACCGACACCCTTCTCAGGCACAAAAGCACCCTTAAAGCCTATTTTAGGGTGCTATCGAGGCAAGCACCCAAACAAAGGGGTGCTTTTTTTTAATCAACCTTATATGAAAGTTAAAGGGTGTTGCAAAGGCTGCTTTCTCGTAAAAGCACTCTTTTTACACTTTTTGGGTGTAAAATTTTTACTGTGTAGTATTGTGATGGCGCACAAATGGCGAAATGTACAGACACACAGATAAAAAGACCGACCTAAAGTTTTGCGTTGAAGGTCCCCAAGAAAGACCATCGTGTTTAAAACACGAAGGTGATAGTGGGAATCGAACTAGGTTAGACCGTTCAACCTCTATGGTTCGTCTGCGTGCCAGCGGAGTATTGTATACCACTGAGTCATGCCGGTGCCTGGGACTCCTTTGCAAATTTGCCTTACGCAGGCTTGATGTTGGGAACAAATCACGTTAATAGGAGTAATAAAGCATTTTAGAACAGCAAAGGAACGACAGGCGTCACACAATGTGAATTTCGTAACGAGTGGGACATTCAATTCTCCAACCCATTACAAAAGCTTGTTCTTCATCACCTATTAAACGTGGAAGATATACACTTCAGGTGTAATTCTTAATACTCGTCAGCTACTGCATCAAAAACACAAAGCTCCCGAGTTTCGTTGCAAGTGTTTAGCGGACACCACGCTTCTCCAAAGAATGACGAAGGGGAGCATAGTGAATGCCTGCCTATACAAAATTAATAATGGTGTAGTGGGTACTCTGCAAGTGTGCTTGTAGAAGCCCCACAAAGTGTTAAAGAAAGGCTCTTAAAAGCCGCTCTTCGAGCTTTCGCTGTGACAGTACGGCGCGGTCAGCGCAAGTCTGCGGTTTTTTAAATGTGAAGCTTTCCTTATCAAACTTCAGCGACTTTAGGCGTATCTATCAATATCTCTATCTATCTAGCCGCTGTTGTTTGGGTGCTCTCGTGGTCACCCCCTTAACTTTGCGTGAACTAAAAGTAGTTTGAGAGAGTAAGATGGTTTGGCGAATATGATGCACTGTTCAAGACATGAATAATGTCACAATCCCGTCGCGTGATCCGTGAAACACTTCCCGCTGGATAGTGGCACATACCAAAGCCACCTAGAACAGGTTAAGGCCTGCGCACTCCCTCCGTGACGTCACGCACCTTGCCCGAGTGGGCCGCGCCTCGCGAAAAAGTTTGTCTGCTAGCCGTCCAGGCTCTACTCACTTCCATGCACTAGATGTGTGTGGGGTTGCCTTCCACAAGTCGCAGAGTGCTAATCACATATATGTACTTTTCTGCCAAGCGTGCAGATATAAATTTGAGGGCAAGTTATGTCAAACTAAGACATGCTAAAAGAAGCTTTGATTATTGTGTCCGAAAGCCGTAGTGTTAGAAGTGTGCCACAATATGGTATGGCGCATTTCGATTTTTTTTGAATAAAAAGAAATAAACTACGATCCAATATATTTCATGAAGACGACATCATTTATTTATTCTAACGTGAATCTTCAAGACGTTGAAGGTAGCTTAATTGAGCGTTTTCAGTTTCCTCTTCAGTGTTGCACCCTTCTTTGCCGCCGTTAACTTGTCGGTTTTCATTTGGACGTAGTTTTTCAGTAAGGTGTTGGTTGCTGCCCACAAGATGTTGTGAAGCACTGTCTCCGGATGGTGTCCTTTGCAACGTATGTCTAAATCTTCATTGTCAATTAAAAGGTGCTTCACCACACTGAGAAGAAGCTGCCTTTGGTGCCGTGCTGCATGACACCGGCTGGTGTTCTCTTTCGAGGTCAGCTTTTCAAGCACGATTTGTGTGTGCAGAACAGCACTTATTACTACTGGTTGGGGAAATTTTAGGGCCCCTCTTGTGAGGCCTTCGATTAGCATATCATCAACCATCGGTATATCCCTATCTTGTCTCGTGATGTTGGCCGCACAATATTCACAGGGAATTTTCCTGAGAGTGGCGTGGGCACAGTAACCTGCAATATACACTATTGCAGGCAAGCTTTCTTTTTTTGATTTCACGTCCTCTTCAGTCAACTTGATGCCATATTCTTCTATCACCTTGGCTGCATCAAACACAATACTGCTAGGTTGGAACAGTTCTTTCATATCTGGAAAAACCAGCGAGTTCTGAAGCCTCAGTTTTGCTTCTGATTCAAATATTTGTTGGACGGAAATATGGTAGTTGGATCCACATAGCCGACGGTAACGACCAAACCTCTCCTCGAGGCTGTCTGTATGAAACATTGCAAGCAAGACATATTCAAAACCTAGCTCCTCCAGGCAATACCGACTGACTTCGATCAAGGAGTACGACGTGAGACGTAGCGCCGAGTGCGTCTCCGTGGTTAACAGTCCTGCACGGCCAGGGCCAATCTTCAAGTTTTCCCAAGTGTCAAGCCAGTCCACGAATGCATTAAGAAACTGCAGCTGCATGTCCTCCATACTTCTTCATCATCATCATCAGCCTGACTACGTCCACTGCAGGACAAAGGCCTCTCCCATGTTCCGCCAGTTAACCCGGTCCTGTGCTTGCTGCTTCCAATTTATACCCGCAAACTTCTTAATCTCATCCGCCCACCTAACCTTCTGTCTCCCCCTAACCCGCTTCCCTTCTCTGGGAATCCAGTCAGTTACCCTTAATGACCAGCGGTTATCCTGTCTACGCGCTACATGCCCTGCCCATGTCCATTTCTTCTTCTTGATTTCAGCTATGATATCCTTAACCCCCGTTTGTTCCCTAATCCACTCTGCTCTCTTCTTGTCTCTTAAGGTTACACCTACCATTTTTCTTTCCATTGCTCGCTGCGTCGTCCTCAATTTAAGCTGAACCCTCTTTGTAAGTCTCCAGGTTTCTGCTCCGTAGCTAAGTACCGGCAAGATACAGCTGTTATATACCTTCCTCTTGAGGGATAGTGGCAATCTACCTGTCATAATTTGAGAGTGCTTGCCGAATGTGCTCCACCCCATTCTTATTCTTCTAGTTACTTCAATCTCGTGGTTCGGCTCTGCGGTTATTACCTGCCCTAAGTAGACATAGTCTTTTACAACTTCAAGTGCACTATTACCTATCTCGAAGCGCTGCTCTTTGCCGAGGTTGTTGTACATTACTTTCGTTTTCTGCAGATTAATTTTAAGACCCACTTTTCTGCTCTCCTTGTCTAACTCCGTAATCATGAGTTGCAATTCGTCCCCCGAGTTACTCAGCAATGCAATGTCATCGGCGAAGCGCAGGATACTAAGGTATTCTCCATTGACTCTTATCCCTAACTGTTCCCATTCTAGGCTTCTGAAAACCTCCTGTAAGCACGCGGTAAACAGCATTGGGGAAATTGTGTCCCCCTGCTTTACACCCTTCTTGATTGGTATTCTGTTGCTTTCTCTATGAAGCACTATGGTAGCAGTTGATCCCCTGTAGATTTCTTCCAGAATGTTTATATATACTTCATCTACGCCCTGATTCCGCAGTGTTTGCATGACGGCTGATATTTCTACTGAATCAAACGCCTTCTCGTAATCTATGAAGGCTATGTATAGTGGTTGGTTATACTCTGAGCATTTCTCTATTACCTGATTGATAGTATGAATGTGGTCAATTGTTGAGTAGCCTGTTCGAAATCCTGCTTGTTCCTTTGGTTGATTGAATTCTAATGTTTTCTTTACTCTGTTAGCAATTACCTTTGTAAATAGCTTGTATACTACAGAGAGCAAGCTGATCGGCCTGTAATTCTTCAAGTCCTTGTCATCTCCTTTCTTATGTATTAAGATGATATTAGCGTTCTTCCAAGACTCTGGTACTCTTCCCGCCAGGAGACACCTCGTAAACAGGGTGGCTAGTTTTTCTAACACAATCTGTCCTCCATCTTTCAGCAGATCTGATGTTACCTGATCCTCACCAGCAGCTTTGCCCCTTTGCATGCTCTCCAAAGCTTTTCTGACTTCTTCTATTATTACTGGTGGGGTGTAATCTGGGTTACTGCTAGTTCTTATAGTATTAAGGTCGTGGTTGTCTCGGCTACTGTACAGATCCCTGTAAAACTCCTCCGCTATCTTAACTATCCTATCCATATTGGTAGTTATTTTGCCTTCTTTGTCCCTTAGCGCATACATCCGACTTTTGCCTATCCCAAGTTTCCTCTTCAATGCTTTGACACTTCCTCCGTTTTTCAGAGCGTGCTCAATTCTCTCCATGTTATACCTTCTTACATCGCATACTTTACGTCTATTAATCAACTTCGAAAGCTCTGCCAGTTCTATTTTGTCTGTTGTACTTGACACTTTCATGATTTGACGCTTCTTAATTAGGTTCTTCGTTTCCTGTGAAAGCTTGCCAGTGTCCTGTCTAACTACCCTGCCTCCCACTTCCACTGCACACTCCATAATGATACTCGTCAGATTATCATTCATTGTATCTACGCTAAGGTTGGTTTCCTCACTGAGAGCCGAGTACCTGTTCTGCAGTGACACTCTGAATTCCTGTATTTTCCCTCTCAGTGCTAGCTCATTGATTGGCTTCTTGCGTATCAGTTTTGGTCGTTCCTTCTTCAAGTCTAGGCGGATTCGAGCCCGTACCATTCTATGGTCACTGCATCTTACCTTGCCAACCACTTCCAGATCCTGCACGACTCCTGGGTGGGCAGTCATTATAAAGTCTATTTCGTTCTTATTTACGCCATTAGGGCTCCTCTATGTCCACTTGCGGTTTTCTCGTTTTCGGTAGAAGGTATTCAAAATACGCAGATTATTGCGTTCTGCGAATTCTACTAGTAGCTCTCCACGTGCGTTTCTAGTGCCGATGCCATAATCTCCTACTGCCTGGTCTCCAGCCTGCTTCTTCCCTACCTTTGCATTAAAGTCGCCCATCACTATAGTATACTGTGTTTTTACCTTACTCATTGCCGATTCCACGTCTTCATAGAAGCTTTCAACTGAAGCGTCATCATGGCTGGATGTAGGCGCGTAAGCCTGTACTACCTTCATCTTGTATCTTTTATTCAGTTTAGTTACGATACCTACCACCCTTTCATTAATGCTATAGTATTCCTCTATGTTGCCAGCTATGTTTCTGTGAATGAGGAACCCCACTCCCAGTTCTCTTCTGTCTGCCAAGCCCCTGTAGCAAAGGACGTGCCCATTCTGTAGCACCGTATAGGCCTCATCTGTCCTCCTAACCTCACTGAGCCCTATTATATCCCATTTAACACCCTCTAGCTCCTCGAATAGTACAGCTAGACTTCCCTCACTAGATAAGGTTCTAGCGTTAAACGTTGCCAAGTTCAGGTTCCAATGGCGGCCTGTCCGGATCCAGAGATTCTTAGCACCCTCTGCTGCGTTGCAGATCTGACCGCCGCCGTGGTCAGTTGCTTCGCAGCTGCTGGGGACTGAGGGCCGTGAGTTATTTGACGTAATCATGTGGGAGGTAGTGGCCAGATACTGCACCAGGGTGGCCAATCCTTCTCTGGTGAGGGAGTGCGTTCTCGGCGGTGTTTGCCGGTGAGGCCGCACCCCAGGCCTCTTAATGTAGTTCCATCAACACGCGGATTTTTTTTTAATCCGGTTGGGAACTGCGCGGTACCGGGATTTGAACCACGGACCTCTTGCATGTGAGGCGGATGCTCTGGCCACTACCTCCCATACTTCTTACGGGTGCTTGAAGAGGATTTCTTAGGTGCTTGCCTTTCGATGGTGTTTTAGTGTTCACAACGCACCACCACTTGTGTATTAATTCAATAAATTCTGCAGTTTCTCGGGCACAACTCAAACCAAGCTTTGCACCATAAGTTTTTAGTGCTTCTGCCATAAATGGACTGATCACTTTCAGTGCTAGCTTCACGTTTTGTCTTTCGATGTTAGAGGGGTTCAAAGCCTTATAAGTAAGTCCGTATCCAAGCTTCGAAAGATTGTGTTGCTCGGAAGCGTACAGTTCACGAAGTGTTTCAAATGTTGCTTTCTTCACTTGCACCTGTGATGTCGTACTTGAAAATTCGGGATAAAAAATGGAACAGCGTTCATTTTTCTGGTTCAACCAGTTGTTACGGATGCACTTTAATAAATGCACGGTATTGACAACAAAAAATAGCGGCCTTGAATTGTCTGCTGGATGTGGGTAAACAATGTCTATTGTGTTATTTTTTGAAAAACATGACATTACTTTTCGGTTCACAGCGTTGTTATCAGTGATAACGGCAATTACTGTAAGTCCCGCTTTTTCAAGACCCAAAATTATTTTTTTCAGGATGTCGTGCAAATGGCTGGCTTCAATGCTGAAAACGGGAAGGATGTGTACCACATCTTTGTGCGCAGAAAGCAATGAATTTGTCATGAACACGTGTGCTGTTTTTGCCGCTTCAGAGGAATTCGATGCCGTCCCTGTTAATGAGCCACCCTTATACTCAAAATATTGGTGGATGTGGATTTCATCTAACATAAGCGTTACGACTCTTTCTTGTGGCTTTAGAAGGCTCACTTTTTTTGTAATGTACTGCAAAAAGCCTTCATCGCTTTGTTCGTTTGCAGGACTTGCACTGTACTTGCTGCACAGCCTTAATATTGTGGAAGGATGAGGTAACATTAATTTACCAGTGTTGCGAACGAATATGTATGCGTGAGGAGAGATCGTATGAAAAATGCTAGATAATATAAGAATATCTGAAGAATATCTCATAGCTCCTCGCTCTTCAAGAATAAGGCGCATCTGTTCCTTCAGAAACTCGAACGCTTCTACTTTCTCTTCTGGTAGGAGGTCACCATCAGACAGGTCATCAAAAATAGAAAAAATAATGTGGAAGCAGGCTTTCAATTTTTCTTCTTTTTCGCAGACGTCTGGAGCATTGAAATGCTCCATACTTTCAAGAATAGTGTACAAGCTCCGAATGTCCTCTAGTTTTTCAGGAATGGGAACATCAGCAATGTGCAGCTTCATCTTTTTCCAGTAGGCAGAAATGTGCAATTCATCGGAAACAACCACAGAACGTTCCACCTCTGGAGGTAGTGTGTTCCTCTGAATATGCAGAAACATAACTGCAGCTTCCGTGCTGCTCACTATCCAATAGTCCGACAACTTAAGTTGTGAGAGTTGTGACATGAGCTGCTCGAAAGATGCCACTCTATTCTTGCGTTGCTCCTCTTCGTGCAAAACAAGCGACATCTGAAGGCCCTTTTGTAGCTGGTCTGCCTCACGGTGCTTCCGTTTTGCGTCAGGCTCCTTGCGAACGGGAGCA